TACAAAATGGTGCGTTACTGGAGTTGGGCCTAATACGGCCTCAAGTAACATGCAACACCATATTTCTACGTACTTGGGTTAAAACCACAATGTAGATGACAGAAATGGGAGGGGGGGAATGTTTCAAGCAATACACAGACAGTACAGGCTGAAATATGACATCCGAGAAAAAAAAAAAAGGCATACAAAGTTCATAAAGTCCAGAAATCTTGTGTTTCTCTACAGGTATCGTTCTCATGTGAGTCCACGTGTTCCAGTCATTCTGCTAGGTTGAATAGTCCTGCAGGGAACAGAGAAGGAAGAATGGAATTCATTTATAGAAATAAACACTAAAATTACAGCAAAGATAAGTCAATCACTAGAAAAAAAAATTTCATTTGAAATTATTTTAATTTAGTCTGTTTTAAGCAAAAATGCTAAGTATTTGTGGGAGGAATTCATAATTTTCTTTGTTGTACATTATAGTAAAGGTTGGCTTAAAAAATTATTTTGGACGGACAAAAATATAAAACATTTATTTTTTGTCCAAAGCCATCTTGGTCTGCATACAATTATAATGACATGTGTAAAATTATGACTTTCTTTTTTCCAATTCTCTGATATTTTACAAACAAACAATAAATCAAGATAATAAGGAGAGAGCAGCGTCGCTCAGATGCTGTGGAAGCAACGGCTATTTATTAATTATATTGTTTATATTTGTTCAAGTGTTTCATTTTTTATTTGATGGAGCATGCGTTACTTTTTTGAAAGATGTTCCTGTTGTCTGCGAGATTTAAGACATGTCACAATGGAAAGGATAAATATCCTGAACCTGAAGTGTAGCGGCTACAGACACAAGTGGTAGATTCCAACACAAAAAACTGAATAATTAGACAATAAAACCACAAAAAATGAACTTACAGCTCTCGGTTTCTTGTTCACTTTCATGTCAAATCTGCAAAGAACACAAAAAGAGGTTACATTAGATAACAGATTAGAACCTGGTTTGAATGGGCATTGTGGAGAGAGGCAGTATATCTACTGTATCATGAAGAAGCCCCGAAACAAGAACACTAAATGAACATGTGTTTGTTCTTGTTTGTGTAGCAAGCCCAGCATCTGACCACAGCAACCATGTTTTATTTAATAGCTGGAATTTGGGAAGCACACTTGAAATGAATCTGGGGGTCAGAAAGATATGACACTACCAAGCAAGAAACTCTAATGGAGATCAGAGTGCCGGATGCTGATATGCATTCAAATGATGAAGTGTTGGACATGCAGTATGACTGAATAACTAGCAGGCTTAAACTCAAAGTCTAGGTCAACAGAAGCAGACAGAGCAGGGAAAACACAGAGAAAAGGTGAGGATGGGGTTTGAAGCAGGCATGATTTAAACACCACAGGAGCAGGAAGTAAAATTCAGACTTACTCAAAGTCATAATCAAACATGGCAGAAGGACTGGGGGGTCAGCATTAGGGGAAGGAAGAGAGCAGCAACTGTTAATTCACCAACCTGAGTCTAAAGCCCTACGTCTAAATAATACTGCAGTCCAGACTTTACAGAGTGAGAGATGCACTCTGTCACAGTGTGTTAGTGGAGAACCTGCTGTGTTATTATGTGGTTAGAGCAGGGGAGCCTTAAGTCAGGGAAACATGTACACATTAAACATGGCAAGTGGAAAAATACGGTCATATGGATCAGTTTGTGTCACCCTACACAGTGACTCTTATAACATGCATTCACGTCAGTGTTTATCTAGGTATTGGATCCCTCAAAATACCACATTTTCCCATAATTAAAGCTACAGAAGTATTTCAATTTGAGGAGTCTATACATCTACTTATTCCAAACATCAAATATCCTTTAACTTTCCACTTAAAATGTGTCTAACATTGCATCCAGGTAACTTTTCCAACAGCTTTGGTCTAGAAGTATTCTGTCTTTTTAAAAATGTTTTTCCAAACACAAGCATCTCATAACAAAGAGTTATACTCCGGCCACTACGCTTAGTTTCTTTTGTACAAAATTGAGTTTATTTTTCTTCCAACATGTCGCATGTTGTAACACTAAGAAATCTATAACGACATTTGTATTGTACCACAGCCATTGTACCAAACACAGGTTAAAGTAGAGGGGAATTCCTACCTGATCTTATGCATGTAGACATGGATGTTACAGTAATAGGGTCTTATCTGTGCCTGTAAATACTTTCAAACTTCCCTTATTACGTGATTTCTCCAAGTAACCAGGTTTCTTGTGTGTTTACATGCACACAAGAAACCTGGTTACTGGGAGAAATCACTCCTCAAGAAGAAGAGAGTAATATCTCTACACTGTGTACCTGTGTCTGTTTTTGTTCTTCCTTTTCTTGTGGCTCCCGTGATGGCTGCCTGAGGATGAGGAGGAGGCAGCTTTCTGAGGCTTTAGGTCTTGCAGCGTCGAGTCCACATCTTCCGTATCCTCTTGGCTCGGCTCGTTCTCTTGGTTCTGGAGATCTGGAGAGGCGTCGCTTTCTGTGCCGCTGCCTGCCTCACCTGACGACACGATATAGGTGTAAAAAAACAAAAACAACCAACAACAGAGAAACTATCCCAAAGATGCTTGGCATGAACATTTTACAACAATAACAACTCACGTTTTTCATTCATGTGTTCCGGTAGCCCCCCAAGTGCACATACCGCCTTCAAATAAAAACAGGGAGTTCAGATGTGTAAGATTTTTTGTTGTGGGCAGCAAAAGAGCAACTGACACATTTTGGGAAAAAGTGAAGTGAGAGAGGGACTTACTGCAACTGATGTGACGGATGACTTGCTGAATAAACGCTCCGCTTCCTTGAATTTCCTATTCCTTCTGTCAGTCTTACTATTGGAGTTCCTGTTAAAATAAAAAATATATGCTTAGAAGCTTATGATCAAATGTGATGACACATAGTTTCCACTATGCAATGGCCCAATAATTTCATGACTCACCAATATAGTTTAATCAATTACTTGTCTGGTTTCTTGTTATAACAAAGTTTAAGAGTCTTGATTTCATTACATCCATCAAAAAAAAGGGTTACACAAGTATTATGGAATCAATGTGGCTCTTGTAACAGCTGTAATAATAAGTTACTTCTCTTCTAGAAACTTGAAAACATCTATGCAGACACTTACTTTTGATTAGTGAGATATCGGTCCCATCCTCTGATGATGTTGCCATACATCTGGGTGTCTTCTAGGTAGCTGCCTTCAAATGCATATATCTGTCTTTCCAAGTTCACTAGCGTCTCCTAAGATATTGAAAAAAAGAGATACAAACTTGAGTACTAGTACTATTCAATGGCCAAGCATAATCGCTAGCCTAACTAACATAGACCTAGTAACCTTAATTCGCCCATAAAGTCAACATCATTCAAACTGAGGTTACTTTCCTATGGGTATAGGTCAGGGGTGGGGAACCTCCGGCCTCCGGGCCGCTATACGGCCCTCGAGGTAATTTATAAACACACGCAGAAAAAGAAAAAAATTGAAGAAATATAGACCGCAAAAACATGTGTGTGCCTACGAGTGCCTGTTTTTCCTGGCCAAGATTAGGGTCCTTGAACACAACACGAGCCTAACGTCTGACAGGGGTGCAGTTTTGACAGAGAGCACCAGAAAGCCAGAACGCCGCTCCGGCACTTGAGAAATTGCAGTACCCATAAGGAGCCGTACACA